CACCCCATTCTTCATCATTTAGATCCATGTCCCCTTTGTTTCTTTCTTTCTAACTAAATTATTATTTGTTTATTTATTTTTGGCTGTGTTGGGTTTTCGTTGCTGCGCACGGGCTTTCTCTAGTTGCAGAGAGGGGGGGCTACTCTTCGTTGCGGTGTGCGGGCTTCTTATTGTGGTGGCTTCTCTTGTTGTAAGTATGGGCTCTAGGCGCGCGGGCTTCAGTAGTTGTGGCACGCCATGGGCTCAGCAGTTGTGGCTCACGGGCTCTAGAGTGGAGGCTCAGTAGTTGTGGCTCATGGGCTTAGTCGCTCTGCAGCATGTGGGATCCTCCCAGACCAGGGCTCGAACCCATGTCCCCTGCATTGGCAGGTGGATTCTTAACCACTGCGCCACCAGGGAAGTCTTTCATGTCCCTTTTTTCCAAATATTTTTGAAACTGTGGCATTTGTTTTAATTCCTCATTAACAGAGAAGCTAAAAGGGTATCAATTTCATTGCTCTTGAAGAAGAAGCACTTCATGGGTACTTATGAGTTCTTAGAACAAAAATGTATGTGCTGACAGTAAGCATTAGGTAGGTTGTCATTGTGATGACACATCTGTGTGGCCATAGAGTGGAAACATGGAGTCAAAGATAAAGGAATAGTCCCCAAAGATGAAGGAGATGAATAGCAAAATAATTCAAACACATGGGTTTTATTTAAAAACAGATATGTATTTAAAACATTTCTTAAGTGATAAAATGGGGGAGAAAACTAGAAAAGATGGTTTGATCCTTTAAGAACAATCCATCCTATAAAAAAATGGTTAAAGGTTTCTTTGACTTTATTGCCAGGAGGATACTGTTAAAATTTCCCATGTAATATGAAAGATGATTTACATCTAATTTTTGAAACAAAATGAAGTTAATAAAGGTTAAGAACTCTTTCATTTAAATGGACCCAATGATCTAAATTACTAAAGCCTCTGAATCCAGCTCTAAAACCAACCTGTAGTTTGACTACAGTGTTTACCTACAGAAGACCATGACCCACTAGCTGAGTTTTCATTCATATTTCAAAATCACTCTTTGTGACCTTCACATTCTCAGAAATTTCTGATCCTGGGGCTTCCCTGGTGGTGCAGTGGTTAAGAATCCACCTGCCAATGCAGGGGACACGGGTTTGAGCCCTGGTCCAGGAAGATCCCACATGCCGTGGAGCAACTAAGCCCATGAGCCACAGCTACTGAGCCTGCGCTCTAGAGTCCACGAGCCACAACTACTGAGCCCGCGTGCCACAACTACTGAAGCCCATGTGCCTAGAGCCCATGCTCTGCAACAAGAGAAGCCACCACAATGAGAAGCCCGTGCACCGCAACAAAGAGTAGCCCCCGCTCGCTGCAACTGGAGAAAGCCCGCATGCAGCAATGAAGACCCAGCACAGCCAAAAATAAATAAATAAAATAAACAAATTTTAAAAATAAAAATATAATATATTTCTGATCCTGGGCTTCATGGCCATCTGTCAGTTGACTCTCCAGTATTTTAGTTCCCACATTCTCTTACATTGCTCAGTGAGACTTACTCTCTAACTTGGAAACTTGCACAATATTCCCCATACCCACCAGGACTAATGCACTTGAGAGTATGGAAAATCCAACTACCTCATCCCTCTTCACTAAATGACTACCCAGAATCTGCCTCCTTTATAAAATTATTCTCAGAGTCCAATCTAACTGACTGTCCTGAATCCCTCCTCTTGCCCATTTTATAAACAGAACTGCATAAACTCAGGCCTCCCCCTTCTTCCCCTTAAAAATGTGGATTTCTTTTAGATAGGGTTCCCTAATAAAAATCTCTCATGTCTGTGAGAACTTTTAAAGGGATAAATGAAGAAACAAGGGGTATGTTAGTAAATATTGACTGATTTACACCATTTTTTCTTTAGTTTAATATTCTAAATGCTATTTTTTAGTGATACCAATACATAGAAGTAAAGCACATTTTTTGGCATTAAGAATTTGACTCTGGAGCCAAATTCTTTGGTTACTAATACCAGCCCTATTACTTACACTGTGTTATTCTCTCTGAACCTCAGCTGTCTCAACTGTTAAGTGAGGATAATAACATTATCTACTTAATAGGATTATTTGGAGGATTAAATGAAGTAATCCATGTAAAGTACTTTTAAAAAGGGCATGGTACATATTAAGCACTGAATAAATGTTTGTTGTGTTGTTCTTACCACCATTAATTTATCAGAAAATATAACTGGTCATTTTCTAAGACTTAAGTGTAAGTCTGAGTGACTCACAACAGGAGTCACCAAATTATGAAAGTGTCTGTTCGGTCTGAATTTAAGTGTGTGCCTTTCTTTCAAAATTTCTGATGGTATCTGGAGAACAGCATCAAAATAAATGATTATTTCTCATTGTACAGTACCCCAAACAACTGAACCTACCAATACTCTTCCTCTATTTCTGCCCATAGCATAAGTGTGGAGTTGCCCATCATTTCCTAGGGGTTGAATCCAATGGACCTATGCCTATCCCACTTGACCTCTCCTGTGTTAGACACTGTCCACCCTCCATCTACCTTTTCCTTTAACTTCCAGATACATTCCCTGCTGGTTTGCTTCCTGTTTCTTGGGCCCAGTACTTAGTTCTTTGTGGGCACCTCTTCCTTTCTTCAACTAGTGCTGTTGTATAAGTACCTTCCTTTCTCACTCCACATACTTTCCCCGGATGACCTCATTCTCTCAAGATTTCCACAAGTTGATAGCTCCATATCCACCTTTACTGCCACTGCCTAAGACTAGGCCCTCATCACTTCCAACCTAGCCTGGAAATTGCCTCTAAAATGGTCCCCTTGCTGCCTTTTTCCCACTTCACATGGCCACCAGAATGTCCTTCCTAAAGGATAAATCTGACCTTGTCACGCTCAAGCTAAAGCTCTTCAAGGGTTTCCCTTACCTTGCTGGATAAGATCCTAAAACCTTTAAACTATCTGACCCTTCTGCACTTTAACCTAATGACCCACATTAGGAAGGCACCCTACAAGTTTTTGTTGTTCAAACAAGGAACATGGTTCTAAAAGTTTTGCCAGGGCTGTACTTTTTATTCAAATCACTTTTCATTATAAATTATTGATCACAGCTTTAAAAATCAATTAGAAGAGTTTCTCAACTCCAGTAAATACATATCACTAGATCTCTTGAATTGAAAATTTTAAGAACAAGTCAATTATATACAATGCGCAAGTGCAAGCATACACACACACACACACACACACACTATACATTATTGTGCTTTAAAACTAGATGTATAGATTTTTAATAATAGTAAAGTGTATTATATCAATGCATACACTTACATATACTTAAAATCAGTTATGCAAAGGAAACAGAATAATAATGAAACTGATTATGCCATAATTTGACAGCATTGTCCACAAGTTTAGAATTTGCATCTACTGTAAATCTCAGATTTCCATATTATAGAACTGCTAAAGATCAATCTTGCTATAAACTGATAATCAATCATTTGTAGAGTCCACACATCTCAGAGTCTTGTGTCAATGTATAGGAATAATATTAGGTATGTATAGAAATTCAAGATAAATTGCTAAATGAAGAGGTGGGTGATGGAAAGAGCTACTGGATCAAGAGAAGAAGTTCTGAATTTTGTCCTGACCAAGGTCCTACTTCTCATAGATGGTGAGACTGAAACAATTAATTAGCCTTTCAAGATGTTACATTCCTCCATCTTCAGAAGGAGGGGTTTTAATTACACAGATCTCTGAGGCCCTTGCCAGCTTTGAAATTTGGATATTTAGCTATGGCATACCCACAGAACAGAGAAGCCCCCCCCCTTGAACAAGCTTTGAGAAAGATCAAATCCACTGTGACTCTCAATCACAAACAGTTGATAGATCTCTTAGTTGTCCAGATTTTATAAGGCTCCCCAGTCTACATCTCTGCAAGCCTCCACCTTCAGGTGCTAAAATCTTCAGCTTCCTCACCACCTTAACCATGCTGGACATTTTCATATAATGTAGGCTGAGTTGTTCTAGGCTTGAATCAATAAAAATTTAACAGAGAATTCAAAATACCACCCCCCCCGCTCCCCACTTTCAGGTCCAAGTAATGAGAGCTCCTTAGCTTTCCAGTGACACACACTAAATATTTCGTAAGGAAAAGGCTGGATGAGTGACTAATGTGTGTTTTTAGCCTCAGTTTCTTGTGTTAGGGATATAACAGCTGTATGCAGTAAAATTCCAGGGTAGAACTGGCTGTATCGACAATTTAAGACATCCATGCCATTGTAGTCATAGCAGCTGTACATGTTTTCTGCAGTGGAGATTTAATGTATTGGATAGGATTATGAGTGAATTGGATTGGCTTCACTATTTTGTACCACATTTTGTTTTATGATGAGCTGCAAGCCAGAGTCTGTATAGTTAGACTTGGGGCTTAGCAGCATAACCAATAAAATATAATGAGAAAAAAACAAGTCTGCGTCCTACAGTGTATCCCAGCAGGAAACAACTCTGCTAATATTTAGAGACGTCTGTCTCAGACTGCTCTCTTGTAAACTTTCCCTTAGAAAGAAAACCCTTAACGTATAGCTACTATTTTACTCCTATCAACTATATATAGGTAAGGTTCTGCCAAGAAGAAGGAAAACGAATGCAACGTGCGTATCTGCATTATTTAAGCCAAAAAAGTCAACGTGCGTCACATAACTCAAACCAAATTATCCACATTCCCTAAGTCAGAAGTTCAAAACTCACAGAGAAAATCCAACAGTCTAATTCTAGTTTGCTTTGATTTGAAGACTTGTGTTTGTCAGAAGACATGCAAGCCTTGGAACTGAGTCAGAAAAATGTGTAAAGAGGTGATATACTGAAAAAAATAGACAATTCACCCAGTCAGTGTGAGTCCAGGAAATGTGAGATTCCTCCCACATTTCGAGAGCACCGGCCCTACAGCCTTCTGGAACTTGAGCTCCGAATGTCACTTACCCTATGACGATACAGGAGATGGCAGTTCCCAAGAAGGCATATGTTAAAATAGATCCTAAGTTCTGAAAAAAGTGTCTCTGGGGAGAAAAAGATACATTTTATATAGTACGTCAGCATTTTTCTTCTTAGTGTTAACAGGAAATAAAAATAAATGCAATAAATTGCCCCACCCTTCCCTCACTGTTTAGGCAAGTTTTTTTTTTGGAGCATCAGTTCCTGGCCCTATTGTACAAATAAGGCTTAACTGATTTACACAGAAAAGGACAGAGGTTTCCAAAAAACAGGGGAAAAAATACACCTGGAAGGTGACAGGGTAGAGATGAGAGAAACTACTGCCAGAACTGGCTGGACCTGAGAGAGAGGGAAGGGACTGGAGCAATGGCCATGCAGGATTCTGGGATGATTAAAGGAAGACAGAGTTTTTCAGAAGTTTTGTTGTCACTGAAACCCCTTTAGCACTTTAAATATACTATTCTAAAAGATTTAAGTTGGGCTTCCCTGGTGGCGCTGTAGTTGAGAGCCTGCCTGCCGATGCAGGGGACACGGGTTCGTGTCCCGGTCCGATATGCCGCGGAGCGGCTGGGCCCGTGAGCCACGGCCGCTGAGCCTGGCGTCCAGAGCCTGTGCTCCGCAACGGGAGAGGCCACAGCAGTGAGAGGCCCGCGTACCGCAAAAAAAAAAAAAAAAAAGATTTAAGTTGTCTTTTGACTTTTATTGGATCTCTGATTTACAGTCCTTCTGAATGTGATGAAACAAAACCTTAATCACCTACAACAGTTTATTCTAATGAATCACACAAAATGATACATAGTCTTGGGGCTGAGGATGAGGAAGGATGACTGGAATAAGTCTAGCTTTCTAAATCTTTTCAAATGCTTGCTTGGGAAAACTCCCTTCCCGTTCTGTAAGTGGCATCTGAGTAGCCAGAACTGACAGAAAGAGGGAGCCTGGAGTACACAAGAAAATCAGCTCTGTGCTGAAAAAGCAAAGGCTGCTGGAGCCCACAGGCCAAAGGAGGAGAGCCCTAGGAATCTCTGGAGTGGGTGGTGGACAGCAGAAAAGCAACTGCACTACCTCTGCATCTCAAAACTCATTCAGGCCAGAACCTCACTCCGCAGCACTTGGGATGCTAGCACCTAAACTTTTATGTGAATTACTAATTTAGGAAATGTGAGCATTCAGGCTGCACCTAAGTAATGTTTTGCAAGTGCATAGAAATTGCAAAACCAGACTTTGTCTCTATCAGCATCAACAGCTGAGTATTAGCAAAACAATCTTAAGTTTTCACCCAATGGGTGATGGGTAAACCCAATGTAATTAACAGCAAACTCTTTGGTTATAATCATCTAGAATAATATTGCCTAGTAGAAATATAATGTAAACCATATATGTCATTTAAAATTTTTCTAGTAGCCACATTAAAATAATTTTTTAAAAAGTAAAATGAGGGCTTCCCTGGTGGCGCAGTGGTTGAGAGTCCGCCTGCCGATGCAGGGGACATGGGTTCGTGCCCCGGTCCGGGAAGATCCCACATGCCGCGGAGCGGCTGGGCTCGTGAGCCATGGCCCTGAGCCTGCGCGTCCGGAGCCTGTGCTCCGCAACAGGAGAGGCCACAGCAGTGAGAGGCCCGTGTACCGCAAAAAAAAAAAAAAAAAAGTAAAATGAACGTTGATAATAAAATGTTTTATTTAACCCAATATATTCAAACATTATCATTTCTGTATGAAATCAATATAAAACATTATTGAAATAATTTACATTACTTTTTGATACTGAGTCTGTAAAATCCAGTGCATATTGTACACTTAAAGCACGTCTTCAGGGGCTTCCCTGGTGGTGCAGAGGTTAAGAATCAGCTTGCCAATGCAGGGGACATGAGTTCGAGCCCTGGTCTGGGAAGATTCCACATGCCACGGAGCAACTAAGCCCGGGTGCCACAACTACTGAGTCCGAGCACCACAACTACTGAAGCCCGCGTGCCTAGAGCCCGTGCTCCACAACAAGAGGCCACCGCAATGAGAAGCCCGTGCACCTCAATAAAGAGTAGCCCCTGCTCTGCACAACTAGAGAAAGCCCGCGCACAGCAATGAAGACCCAACGCAGCCAAAAATAAATAAATAAAATAAAATAAACTATGATAACTGTAGAAAAACGACTGATTAAAACTCCCCAAATATTAAAAAATAAATAAATAAATAAAAGTTAAAAAAACAAACAAAAAAGAAAAAGCACACCATTCAGACTAGTCACATTTCAATGGCACGTGGCTATCGGTTAGTATACTGGACATAGCAGGATTTAGAAGAATTCTAAGCATGTCAGATTTGAATCTGTATCATATATGATCTAAGATAATGATATTCTTACCAAATAGGCAAACCCATAAAATAAAATAATTTTTTTCATTAGTGCTGGCAAAATACTCTACTTAATGATAAAAGAAGAAAACAATCACTGTACATTTACCTTCTTTAGGCTATATCCGGCATGAAATATAATTGGCGGCAGTAAAACATTGAAGAAGATTTCTGGATCAAATGTCATCTGCCAGAAAAGACAAAAGTATAGTTAAGAAGATGCTCCTTTGGACTACTAAAAATAAGTTTAAAAAAATTGTTATAGTCACCCTTGCTAAGGTTGTCTGAAGCATACTAACATGATATTAAATTAGCAAAGATGAAAATAAGAGAAAATGGAAACTTAGAAATTCATAATTGAATACAACTATAAAGTAATATTTTAAATGTAAAACTTTATTCTGTAGCTAATAAGAACATCAAAAAAACCTCAATGAAACCTCTCTAGGCAAAGAAAACCTTTTCCTTTTCCTTTGATTAGTTATTCATTCCTCATATTTTCAATGTTTTTATTCTATTTTATTTTTTTCTGGTTGAGGAGATTGGTAGTGTTCCAACATTTTAGCTCTGACAAGGATTTATCTAAGGTTTTCCCAAATAAAACATTTTTAGAAATTTAGTCTTACTTTTCCCACTTTATCCCACTCTGAAGTTCAAAATATTTTCTGGACTCTGGAAAAACACATTTGAAAGTGAAACTGGATTTTTCTAGTATTTGTTTATTGGCTTTTACTTCAATGTTAAAATAAACTTGGCAAAAACTTCCTTGGTGTGAAATGCAATGAAATGAGATGGAGAAATTCTTGAATCCAATATCTGCTATTTGCTGGGTAGTCTGAAAATGTTAACTCATTAATCTTTAAAACCTTCCTTAGGCTCATTCTCTTCTTCCACACTTGCCCTCTCTCTCAATCTCTCTCTCTCTCAATCTCTCTCTCTCTCTCTCTCACACACACACACACACACTCACTGCCATTCATTATTTCACCACTAAGCCTTCTTACCATTACAGCACTTGTCAAAATCTTTGAGATGTATGGGTTTCACAACTATACTTTCTAATTTCCTCCCCCTTTTTGCCTGAATTCTTACTCATCTCTGAAACTGGATCTCAAAAGCTACTCCTCTCTGAAACATGCTTTGATTTCCCAAGTCAAAACTGACAATTCTTTCTTCTATGCTCTTTCAGCACTTTGTACCCTCTCTTGAAGCATATGTGTTTCATAACATATTTTACACGATTATTGGTTTCCGTTTGACTGTTTTCCCAGTTAAATTGGGAAGCCATCAAGGATCACAATGATGTCTTAGCCAATTCTGTGTTGCTTTCAGCCCTCCCAGTGCTAGCCCATTGCTCAATATATATTTGCTAAATTGGAAAAAAAAATTAATTGCCTTTGAGAAACAAATCTATTAAAATGGAATGAATTATATATATCCCTAACAACCTTACACATTACAGGTAAGAATTACTTAAGTAAAAATTAAGAAAAGCCTTTCTTAACTCCCATTTTTTACTTGGGGCCTAATTGAGCATTGCCAGAGTCCCTCTTCGCTTTTCTGCATACTGGCCCCTCAACTCTTCTAATATTTGGAAAGAAATATTTCCAAATATTTCTAATATTTGGAAAGGGGGGAAGTAGGAGCCACCTAACTCAGCTGGGCACCCTCTCATAAACCTAGTTATTCCCTCATTGATGCTACAACTTCTTGTACCAGTGAGCATTCAGGTAGATCAGCTTGGCCCATCCCCAACTCTCTGTGCCAGTTTCTTCATCTTGAAAATGAATACAATAATCTGGTACCTAATTTTAAGGTGGTTATAAAAATTAAATGAATTAATACTTACAAAGCCCTTGCAGCGTTGCCTAACATCTAATAAGCACCTTTAAGTATTTATTACTAAAGAAAATGAAATATCTGAATTAATATTTTGAAGTTATACTATTTGAAGAAGTTGCCCTATTGTTAGGAACTCTTGAGTGTTACAACTGTGTAACATTTGGGCAAAGATATTACTTTTCCTTCTAAGTTTACTCTTTTTTCTAAGATTATCTGAAACACCATTATTGATCTATTTTTGAGGCCTCTTTGAGAGTGTATCAACTGCATATTTGAAAGTTTTTAGCAAAGAGATGTATTTCTGAGTTCTGGAGGAGAGAAGCAATGCAGCCGTGATCATCTGGAAGAGAGAATTACAGTGGCACAACATCTTGGACAGAAAAATCCCTCGCCTCGGCAGTTTTTCTGCAAAAATCAGGTTAATCACTCAACCAGAACATTTCAATAACCAGAATGCCCCATTCCCTGCATGCAGGTTAACTAATGTGTTATTGAATTATATTTTCTGGAGCAGCCAGATGAAACTGGCAGGCTGAGAATGGCATGCAGCGTACGAGGATTTATTTGTATATACAAAACAGATTTGTGTTCCTTTCAGACTTGCTATAAGCTTAGGAACTGCTAAATCAGAGTTCTGGGAGTAACTCCAAACCCAGACAATTTCTCAGAAATGGCTGGATCTGCCGCTGCACCAACCTCCAGATGGCGATTCCACATGTCATTTTCCTCAGACTTTGTGTTCAAATCGTGGCCTTGGAGGTGAGACTGTTTTTAAGGCCCAAACAATTAAAATTTTTCATTATAGTGTGAGGGAGGAAAAAAATCTAAGACAGGTGTGAAAGGGAAGAGCAGAAAGTTAAAAATCTTCCAGCTAAATACATTAGTCTTAAGATACAAATTTTATAGACCAGCACTGTCCAGTAGGACTTTCTGTGATGTGAAAATGTTCTATTACTGTCCTGCCCAATACAGGAGCCATGGGTCACATGATCTATTGAGCAATTGAATTGCAAGCTACTGGAACTGGGGACTGAAATTTTTTTTTTTCCTGTGGCTATTAACTGTTGAACAGTACATTTATAGACAGTTACTAGAATTTTAAAATTCAGACCATTCAATTCTTAGATGGTTTATCGTCCCATATAAGGAATGGCTAATTTGGAGCAACTGACCTGAGACTCAGGTGGTAGAATTATGGATGCTTCATGAAAACTGTGAGATTTTTAAATACTGAGACTCAATTCTTAAAATACCAGATAATGTGAGACAGAAAAATACCAATATGTTCAACTACTACAAGGATGCAGTAGTTTTACCTATTAACTAAAATACGCACTGGTATTTGGCTAGGAATGGCCTGGACATGTTGATAATCAACTTGAAAACTTCCAAAAGCAGAACGCAAAGGTACCAAGTTTAATTCTCATCAGAAGGTTATAGATACAAAAATTCTGTTTGGGGCTTCCCTGGTGGCGCAGTGGTTGAGAATCTGCCTGCCAATGCAGGGGACACGGGTTTGGGCCCTGGTCTGGGAGGGTCCCACATGCTGCGGAGCAACTAGGCACGTGAGCCACAACTACTGAGCCTGCGCATCTGGAGCCTGTCCTCCACAACAAGAGAGGCCGCAATAGTGAGAGGCCTGCACACGGCGATGAAGAGTGGCCCCCGCTTGCCACAACTAGAGAAAGCCCTCGCACAGAAATGAAGACCCAACACACCCAAAAATAAATTAAAAAAAAAAAATTCTGTTTGGTCCTGAGTATTAAGGCATCCAGCAACTCAATATGAACTATCTAGGAAGAAATATCAGTGTTCTAGCAACTACTAAATAAATAAGCACTAAAAGGGGACTGTGATTAATGTGGCATATTAATATGGGGACTGTGATTTATGTGGCATATTACTCCCAAAGAGGCCTTTTAAAAACATAGTTTCATCAACTCTGACAGCATTCCTGAGTGGTAACTGGCAAATGCAATTATCCCCTTTTTCCAGAGACAGGAGAAGAAATGAATGTCATGCCCAGTGTCAATGAATGTGTCAGGGATATTGTTGGGAATTGGGTGTATCTGCATGGTCAAGCTAAATGTGTGCTTTCCAAGGGAGAACCAGGCTAATATAACTACTTAAAGCAAGACTTAGGAGTGTTTAAGAGAAGCTGGGACTCAGAAGTAGGCTTTCATTATTTTGGCAATTCCCAATTCCTTTGGAAAAGTAAAAGTGGTTAACACAATAATGCGTTCACTTATCTTCAACGCTTTGTTCATTAGAAATCTAACAAGCCTCTTCTCTGTTGCAAAGTTCTTGAATATATATGATAGATGGACTGAATCCATGAAGGTTATAGTCAAAAGAAAGACGCTGTGTAGTTTCAGTACAAGGCACAGGGTTACATTGTAGTTCATGGTTCTCTAGGACAGAGACACAACTCTGGGCTTGCTAACCCTGCAGGGATGCTTGATATTGAAGCAGCGTATGAGCTGGGTTTTGAAGGATGGGTAGGAGCCTCTCCATGGGGCACCAACATACAGAACCATGCTCTTTTGTCTGCCCTGGAAGCAGTGGGCCAGGGTTCACCAAGCCACAAGGGAAACTGGCAGCTTCCTGGAGTTTCAGTTATACTTGATAGCAAGCAGTTTGAAATATTTTAAATATTTTTAAAATGCAGATATATTTAAAAGTGAAAATCAAAACCTGTATGCATTTTTAATGTAAATATGAGAATTCAAAGAAAACCTGGCTTGCTCGGGGGAGACAGCTTTGGGATATACATAGAGACAACTCAAGGGTGTGTGTTTCCTTTCCTCTGCCCTAAGTTTTGGTATGAAAAGCACCAGAGGGGGAGAATGGAGAACAAATTCAGAATATCTGATGAAAATATATCGCCTACTAATTAGATAAGCTTACTCCACTTAATCTCTCTGAGGCTCAGTTTCATCATTTGTAATATGGGCATGCAAATGCCTACTTCCTAGACTTGTTTTTGAGGATTAGATGTAATAAGAGGTGTAAAGTGTTCTACTTGGTACCTGACACTGTTTCTCAAGAAAGGCTCACTATACCTGAATTGAAATGGAAGAAATTGCTGAAGCAATGGGTTAAGGATTGGAGGCACAAGGTGCACTTGGGGAACAGAAGTAGAAAATGTAGACCTCCTGAGTGATGTGGGAGGAGGTTAAGGCCTGGCTATGCATACTCCCCAGACTATTAACCTCTCTAACCCAGCGGAAATGAACTGAAACTATATTCATTCAAACACGGAAGAAAGTAGAGATATTTTGCACAGCAGGATTAAACAACAAAATGGCTATTGGGAGTATAAATTTGTATAACCTATTAGTAGAG